TAACTTTCATAGCTCCAAATAGTGCAACAGAAATCACCTTGAAAGGACTCAACCATTGAGATTTCAACTTTCTAAGAAACAACCTTAGTCTAGAATTGAAAAGAAGAACTAGTTGTCCTAGCCCAAAAGTTTGATGCAATATATGTTGGTCATGCCATCGCTTAGTCCTCTCTTTATATAACTTTATACTTTCAAAAGCATGGTATCTAAACTCTTCTAACTCATTCAATTGTAAAATCCTTGATGCACCAGCTTGCTTAGAATCCATATTTAGTTGTTTAATTGCCCATCAAGCTTTATGTTCCAACTCAAATACCAAGCGATAAGGAAACATCCCAATTAGAGTTCTGAAAGCAATACGATATGCCCAAAGAGTATCATCTAACTTATCCGAGCAATCTTTTCTCATAGGTCCCAGCATAATTTATTGTCTCAATCTGTTGAGATAGATGGTACTAGTCAGTTGCATGTGCGTCTCCATAATAATCATATTGAGCATATATGGCATGAGCTCCTATAAGCCCATCATTGTTCTGATCAACACGTGCTTCTAAGCGATCAAATCTTTTACTCAGAGTCTAAATCATAGCTACTAGTTGTGAAGATGAAGGGGTCTTTTGTCATTGCTGTTCTGGATGTAATCAGTAGCAAGATCATTTAAACAGTTCCAGACATAATTCATTGATTGCTTTATAATCCCACCATTAGTGACTAAATTCATTTCAGACTTGGATTCTTGTGTCCACCGACTATTAAAGACTTGAATCAAAACCTATTTCTCTTGATTATGCCCAGGACTCTGCTTCACCAATTGCTTGAACTGTTTCCAAGCTTTATACAAATGTTCACCAAACTGTTGATTAAAATTGAGAATGTTGGCTCTAAAATTGACCATATTGTTATGTGGAAAAAATCTAGATCTGAACTTGCTTTTCATTTCTTCCTATGATGAGACACTACCTTTATTTAAATTGTTGAGCCAATCCTTAGCTTTCCCTTATAGAGAGTAAGGGAAGATTTGGAGACGAATAACATCTTGAGGAACTCTATTTTGCTTGAATGAGTCATAAATGTCAATAAAATTGACCAAGTGTCTATTAGCATCCTCATCCTGATTTCCTACAAATTGCCTATTCATCTTAATCATCTTAAGCATGGTTTGCTTAATCTCAAAGTTATTAGCTTGGAAGTTAGGCAGTTTAATCTCAAACTAGTATCCTCTAGCTTGTCTACCCAAGAAATCAGTGACACATAACCTATCATTCTTATTCTCAGCCATCTCTTCGTTTGTAACCTTTTTACCAATTAGAGGTTAAGTGTGAGGTGAAATATCTTCCAAGATTTCTTTAAGACTGCTTGTTCTCACAAGTATCTTTTTTGACTTAGCCTTACGTGACATGCAAAATAGTACTCCTGCAAGAACAAGAAAACATCAAGGATCTAACTAAACAAAACAAAAGAAAACAAAATAATAAAATAAATGCCTAAGCAAAAACTACTTAGGGTCCTCTAATGCTAATCACCCATGGCCTAAATTCTCCGGTAATGGTGTCAAAAACTTGATGCACACAAAATGTTTCACCGCAAGTGTATGGGTTAAAGTGCAATATAATAGTGCGTTAAGGTCGATCTCACAAGGAATCAAGCATAATAACAATTAGGCAATAAAGTTTTCATTTTTGTTCACGTTAAGTAAAACCAATTAGAAGAGATTGATTAAGCAAAATTAAAAAGTGAAATGAATAAAATGCAATGAGATTCTCAATCCAACAACTACAAATGTCCAATGCAACCTAGAGTCACTAATCCCTTGCTAAATTCATAGATCTTGCTTTTACCCAATTAATTAATTTTAATGCTAATTTTGTTAATATAGAGTATTAATGGCTATAAGGGCCTTTCAAACCCCAAATAATCCTCTCTCAAATTAATTATATTATATCTAACAAAATTATCTAAGAGGCAACTTTAATTTCAATTCACTCTAATTTAATTATATGAGGCAATTAGGTATATTTCTATCCTAATTACAAATTAGATCATAATCTAAACTCATATTACTCAATCTAAGGGTCTAAATGAGATTTTTCTTTGTCAAGGAAAAATCCCAACACCCAAGTTCATAGTTAACTATGGCCAAACATTAAATAGACAAATAAATGCAAGATTGAGAAACTAAAATTAATATTAAGCACAACCAATGGGTAAAAACAAGCTCTAATCCACCAACAAGTTCATCATTACTCTATGTCAAATGTGTTCGGCCACTAACAGCCATTAAAATAGCATAAAGCAACAATATTCAGCAAAAGATACGTCAAAATGTTGAGAAAAGGAAGAAGAAAGCTTAGGAATGATGATCTACAAGACTCAAGTGTTCCCCAAGCTTCTCCAAACTCTTTCTCCACTTTAGAATGCTCCCTAGACGTGCAGCTGCTAGTTAAAGATGAACTAGAATGAAAAATGATAGCCAGAGACCCTTAAAACATAATTTTAAGTAAAGCTGTGTGTTTTGCTGAAAATTGGTCTGATGTCACGACATCCAAAATTGGTGCTGCAGCATCACTCGGCAAAATTCAATTTCTTGTGGGCTTTAAAATTATTAGCTTTGGTCTCATAAATTGGGCCTCCTTATATGAATAAAACTCAAATTTAATGCCTTAATTGATCCACTAACTTCAACAATTGTTTTAAACTTTATCTACCTCCAATCTCACAAATAATTATCCACTTAATCACATATTTGCTAATTCATTCCACAAGATGACTTCTAATTGCATTAAAAACTATTAAATTCATTAAAATATTGGAAGTCATCACTTGTCACGGCACATATACTTATGGAGAGCACAACAATTTGGTCCTAGTAAGTTAGTCGTCCAATCCCTATCAACGTCGGCTATCAGGTACTAGTTGGCATCGGCATTCTAGTCCTAGTCAGCTCTTATCATCCAGTCCTTATCCAAGCTGTCCATCCGTTCACCATTGATACTAGCAGTCCAGTTTTGGTGGAAGTCGATTGAGTGATGTTGATGTCGAGAAGGTAGAGAAGTCGACGAACAAACGTGAAAGAAGAGAGAAGCTTCCATGAAAATTTGAAATAAAAGAGGTTTAGAAAGGATTTGAAATTATAAGGGATTGAAGTAGGATTTAGACTTGAATTTGGGTCAAATCTAAATTCACACATTTTTAATTATTCAAATAATAAATTTGGCTCAAATCCAAATTTACATGCATCCAAACATAGCATTAGTGAATTGGTTTAAAAGTTTGCTACTCTTATTCCATGAATTCAAACCTGCAAACAAAAATTTGCAAGTGAGATTCACTAGTTTGTAAGGAAAAAATTTGTCAAAATATTATTACTTAAAAATTTTTTTCATCACAAATTGAAAAATCGTATTTGAAAATTTATGTTTTGAGGATTTCAAATAGGGGTGCGAGAGTAGAAAATCACCGGAAGTGGTAATATATTTGACAAAATATTTCTTTACAAATTAATAAATTTCACTTGCAAATTTAATAGTTGCAAATCATGACTTTAGATTTAAATTTTGAATTGAAACTCTTATATTTAAAATTCATGTATTTACAGATAGTGTACAAAATTTTAAAAATGAAATGACAAAAGAAATGAAACCAGAAGCACGAAAATGAGAGAGTAGACGAGAAAAAGGGGACGGCTGAAGTATGAAAAAAAGAAACAAGAAGAAGAAAGCTAACGAGAGCTTCTCTCACTAGGAGAGGGATATCAATTCATCACGTAAATCTTAAAAGATTAGTTGTAAATAAGTTGTAAATTATGGAAGTTATATAAATCAAGAAGCTCAATTTGTAAATGTTAGAAGCTCAAAAATTGTAACATCAAAAGATACGTTACAAAATTTCCGGGTAGTGCAACTCAATTTCTAAAAAAGATTCCAACTGACGAGTTTTCATGATATAGACATTAAGAAATGTATCCAAAAGTATCCAATAATTACTACCTAGCTAGTATCCTTTGCATCACTTGATGTTCTGAATTATCGCAATTGATCGCTTAAGTACTGAGATATTTTTCTATGATTTTTATTGAAAATCTGTTAAAAGATTTTTACAACCAAAGACTTTTCCAAGTCATCCCATGAGGAACCAAGTCATCCCATAAGCAAAAGACTTGGAAAGGTCTTCATCCATGTCCTAAATAAACTTTAAAATTGAAAGAACTTGTTGCCTTTTGTGGAACAACTCGACTCGATCCAGATTAGTAGAGATCCAAAGAACTACAAATATTAGGTGCACATTAGGGGTAAAAAAAAAAAAGGGCTTGCTTTTGAATTTGGAACTGCATGCTTGGATTTATATATTCAAAAGCGTCCAATAATTCCTTCATACCTTGTATCCCTTTCGTCACAAGATGCTCTACACTATAGCAATTTCAGTTTTTAATATTATTTGACAATGCTATGATTTCTATTGAAAATATCTTCAAAGACTTCTACAGCCAGAGACTTTTCCAAGTCATCCCAAAAGAAAAGACTTGGAAAGGTCTTCATCCTTTTTGCAGATAAATTTTAAAATTGAAAAAAAATAAAAAATTTATCTACAATTTCTTAATACTAACATTAATCCTTTTTCAAAAAAAAATTAATGAGTTTAGATTTTAAGACTTATCAGAACTAAAATAATTCATACTCCTTCTATTAAAAAATATAAGGCATTTTTAACCGAATCTCACCCCCAATAAAGTAGTTACTTGCTTTCAAACCAACTCTATTTTTTTATATTTATCTCTATTAAACACCCTATAATAAATATAAAGTTATCATCAATAGGACACTTTTAGAATAAATGCAATGATTACACCTCAAAAAACTAAAAATGCTTTATATTTTTTAACATCTAATTATCAAAAAACGTTTTATATTTTTAAACGAAGAGAGTATTTGTGCAAAGATTCTTTTAACATAAGACCAGAGTCCCAGTAATTAAAAAAAATGTCCTTTTAATTATCTATAATTCCCATCTTTTTATCACCCCAATTTTTATACAGGTCAGATAATCAAATTTATAAAATTGAACTAAAAAAGTGACTTTAAAAGAAGATCATGAAAGAAGAAGTAGCCATAATTGCCAACTCAAGATGGATATGATCATAACCACAACTTTGGTGATTATAATCTTATTCCTTCATGGCATATTCATTGCCCACGTTGGTAGCTCCTCCTACACCTACGACGCCATTGATAACATCTTAGTTAACTGTGGCTCCCCCAGCTCCATTCAAGTCCATGGCCGGACATGGAGCTCTGATATCAACTCTCAACAGCATAAAGTCTCTGAAAATCCTCCATTTTCATCAGTTCAGGCCAGCACATCTTCACTCGACATCCGTTCTTCATCTATGAAGAATCTTTACATCACTACACGCCTTTCTCACTCTGAATTCACATACTCGTTTCTAGATCTCACTGATGGCCCCAAGTTTGTTCGTCTTTATTTCTACCCATCTTCATACTCCGACTTTGATCGCTATTCTTCCTTCTTCTCAGTTAAATCAGGCCCCTTTACCCTTCTTAAAGACTTCAACGCTTCACTCACCGCCGACAACGACAGCAATGATGATATTCTAACGGGTAAATTCATAACCTTAGAATACTGTATCTACGTCCCACCTGGGAATTTGAGGCTGAATGTTACCTTCATACCCAACACCACCATGAGTCCCGATGCCTATGCTTTTATTAACGGGATCGAGGTTGTTTCTATGCCCACTGATCTTTATTTCACTAAACAAACTGACCACCCAGGTTTCCCTGTTGTTGGTAGTGATAGCACTCCTTACTCAATCAGATACAGCATGGCATTAGAGATGATGTACAAACTCAACGTGGGCGGCAGTCAAATCCTTCCTGATCAAGACACTGGAATGTTCCGTTATTGGGAGGATAATCAGCAATACTTGACAGTGCAAGCTCGTCCGGCCAGTCTTCCAGCCGCTTACGGCCCAAAACTGAGATATAAAATTCCCAACTACACTGCACCAGACGAAGTATATAGGACTGGCCGTAGCTATGGTGCGAATGAGACTTCGGTAACGTATAACCTGACTTGGGAGTTTCAAGTCGACTCACAGTTCGATTACATGGTGAGGCTCCATTTTTGTGAGATCAACTTGCAAATTAAAAAATCTAGTGAACGAGTTTTCCAGATCTTCATTGCTGATGAACTGGCCGAACGCCGCGCTGATGTGTTCATGTGGGCTAGAGATAATCTGACTCCTTACTATAAGGATTACGCAGTTTGGAAGGAGAGCGAAGATCAAAAGCTGAAGAAACGCAATATTTCCATAAAGTTGCAACCATATGATGATTGGCGAGTAAGCCTTCACATGGAAGCGATATTGAACGGAATTGAGATTTTCAAAATAAGTGATGGTGCCAATTTCAATCTCGGAGGTCCCAATCCTGACCCATGGTTCAAGCCATCTCAATTGATCCAATCTCAAAAACTGAAAAGCTCAAAGAAAACAATGATGATTTCCATCATTGTTGGTGCAGCTTCATGCTTCCTTGTGCTATCTCTTATCGTTTTTCTCATCTCCCGACGACAGAGCACCAGATTGAAGAAATCCAAAAGCAAGAGTACCCATGGTCCATCGTTATCACTGCCGTCTGGTCTATGTAGATGCTTCTCAATTGATGAGATCAAAGCAGCCACAAATAATTTCGACGATATCTTCGTCATAGGTGTTGGAGGGTTTGGTAATGTGTACAAAGGCTACATCGACAATGATACACTTCCGGTTGCAATCAAACGACTCAAACAGGGTTCGCAACAAGGGGCTCGGGAGTTCCAGACCGAGATTGAGATGCTCTCTCAACTCCGTCACCTTCACTTGGTGTCCCTGATCGGTTATTGCAACGACGGTGGCGAGATGATTCTGGTTTATGAGTTCATGGCTCGTGGGACTCTTAGTGACCATCTTTATGGTTTTGATTGCAAAGAACCACTTTCGTGGAAGCAGAGGTTAGAGATGTGCCTTGGGGCAGCGCGTGGACTGCGCTACCTTCATACAAGAGCCAGCCGCAACATCATTCACCGGGACGTGAAGAGCACGAACATTTTGGTGGATAAGAAATGGGTGGCGAAGGTTTCTGATTTCGAACTGTCCAAAATGGGACCTATGGGAGTGTCTTGGTCTCACATAAGCACAGAGGTGAAAGGGAGTGTGGGGTATTTAGACCCAGAATACTACGAGACTCACCAATTGACTCTGAAGTCCGATGTGTACTCATTTGGAGTAGTGTTGCTTGAAGTATTGTGTGGAAGGCCACCCAAGGTACGTACGGTGGAGAAGCAGAAGTCAAATTTAGTGGATTGGTTCAGAAGATGCCACCATGAAGGAGTGATTCATGAGACAGTGGATCCGATACTGATAGAAGTGCTTGAAAGTGTTTAGTGACATGGCTTTAAGTTGTTTGGCTGATAATGGGAATGAACGACCATCGATGAATGCCGTGGTGTTGGGCTCAGAGTTTGCGATGAAGCTGCAAGAGAGCACGGAGGGCCCAGCGAAGGATGAGAGTAGTGGGACCTAAGAAGAGACTGAGATGAAGAAAGGGTTGGAAGATGAGGAACTGATACAAGATTCACTGGTTAGTCAATGAGATGTGGCAGTCGCTTCTAATCTGCCTTCCTCTAATATTTTTTATAATATTATAATATTTTAATCTTAATTTTTATTTTTTTAAATCATTTACTTCTACATAAAATAAAAGATATTTAAATATTTTGATATTTCAAAATAATAAAAATATGTATTTTTTATAATTTTTTAAATATAAAAGGGTGTATTTGTGATTTTTTTAAAAAAATTATAAAAGATACAAATCTTTACTATTTTAGAACATTAAGATATCCAAATATCTCTTATTTTATATAGAAGCTACTGATCGAGAAAAAAATAAAAAAAATGAAATTGAGAAGTTGGAGCATAAATGTGCCTTCCTCTAATATCTTTTGTAATGTTCTAATTTTTTAATTTTGTTTTTTATTTTTTATCATTGACTTTTACATAAAATAAAAGATATTTGAATATTTTGATATCCCAAAATGGTAAAAATATGTATTTTTTATGATTTTTCAAATATAAAAGGGTGTATTTGTGATATTTTCTTTAAAAAATTATAAAAAATACAAATCTTTACCATTTTAAAATATCAAGATATTCAAATATCTCTTATTTTATATAGAAGCCAAAGATAAAATAAAAAATAAAAAATGAAATTAAAAAGTTAAAACATTACAAACAGTATTAGAGTAGGGGACATCAAAGGTTCCTGGCTTAAATAAGATTCTCTTTTTTAGCACATATCCTCCTGCCTGCATGCCAATTGATAAGGACCGACTTTGTTATTACAATCCTAAATCCCACATGTGTGGATATATATATATATATATATACATATAAGTTTTTAACAAGATATTATTAAAATAAATATATTATTTTTAAATTATTTACCATAATTGTTGGTGTTTGTGGTAATAATGGTAATTTAATAATTACCAATAGCGCTTATCACAGTGCGTGGTAAAAATGAAATTTTAGTTTTTTATATAGTAAAAAAATAAATTGTCTCTTAGTATTTATTTCTTATTTAGAAGAATTAATTGATATTTATTTGTAATTTTTTCAGACCTTTTCGATAATTTTTTAGACTTTTTTATTTTATAATTAAGTAAAAGTCAATATTAATTTTTGTTCATGATATATAAAGCAATATTGCACACTTTATTTTCAAATGTTTTGGGGAAACATTACACACACACAAAAAAAACTTTAAGATCCTTGAAACTTATGGACCTATATTTAAAGAAAAAAATTGCCTTTTAATACTTTTTATTTTTATATGTCGCGCTATTAATAAATATCTATATCAATAACTAGCTTGTAAAGTAATTGCATCTTCCAAGAAACTAGATTGTTACTGATGTTTCTTGGGGAAAAAAAAATGTTACTATTGTTTTCACTGTAGAACAAACGGCAATAAAAATTATAGAGTATTTTACAAAAGAAAAAAGACAGATTCGTCGTCCTCAAATACGCATACATAATGCTACAAGAAGATAAAGTCTGTCTTTTGAATATTCAAATGAATTGAATGGTCTATGTTTCCCCTATAGTCGCATCTCTCCATGAAATCATCATCAGTCATGTAAGGGATGTGACGTCCAACTTTATATATATATATATATATATATTATAATGAGATTTAATTTGTATCCACTTCAACTTTCTCCCAATATATCTTTCCTTACACAATCTCATTATTTATGAATTTTAGAGTACCAAGTATGATGGACCCCATGACACAAATGATATAGCATTAATGGTAACGAAGCTTGAGGATGCTAACCATGAGCATGGTGACATGGAAGGAGTCCAATATTTCCAATTCAACGTACCTAAAGACCCATTACAACATATTGGAGGTCCAATGACAAGAACCCGAACTAAAGCCATGAAGTAAGCCTTGTTCAGTCTTGTATAAGAAGTTTAAGAGCTTGGAGAGCATTGGGGCACTCCTCTCAAGCCCAAAGGAGAGCATCCATACGTGTATAATGTGCTTAAGATCCAAATTCATAAAGAGTCAAGCCCAAGAGATGCAAACCTTAGCCCAATGCAAGAAAGACTATAAGTTGAGCCTCTTGCAAGCGAGGAGGCATAAAACCCTAGTGATGAAGTCAAGGATGGCGTGATTTAAATCCTTTATGATCCCTTAGTTGTTTCCTAAATTATTTCCTATTTTAATGGTCCTTTGATTTGATTTCCTATTTTGAATCTAGTCAAAGGTTAGAATTAATTATATTATTAATTTCTAAAGTTTGTAATCCCATAATTTTAGGACCATATATCCTAAATTATGTGGCTAAATATTTTATCATTATTTTATATTATTTCTTCTTTTAGTATTAGGAAATTAGGGTTTTAATTTTAAAAAATATTCTTTTCTATGAGCCTATATAAATTAGGCATGCTCCTTCTTATCAACAGAACAAAAGTTGAATAAAATTATTTATTTTAGAGTTTATAACTTTTGTGAGCCTTAATGCTTTGTGGTGGCGTCCCGTGTGAGAAACAGACATGATCAAGTGCATGATCAACTCTTGTGGTATTTTCGAAGGTTGAGGTTTTTAGAGGCAGGTGCTCTAGAGGATCTTCTCCTTGATCATTATCCTATTGTTTACTTCATATCTTTCTTTATTTCTATTATAAATTCTGTCCCTTTCTTTTTGTTCTTGTATTTTTATTGTGTTTCGGGGTTCTATTCCTAAACTAGCATGATTCTGCTTCTGCGTCCCCTATCAAAGTACAATTCAATGTATACTTTAAAGGAAAAAGTACTCTTCAACGGAAAGTCAATATAAAGTTAATTAACTATCAACCCCAATATCCATGAGTTAAGAGATAACATTGCAATGATTTTCACACTTGAGAGTGACGTTATTCCAATAAATAATGTTATTCCAATAAATAATTTAGAATATCTAGCACTGCAAATAATTCATCAACAAAAATGCCCTCAAAGCCTATAATGTCCCGCACATGGACGAGGAAGTTAGGAGACAAATTATGAAGGAAAGACAATGCACATCAAACCACTTGGAGTTAAGGTGAGCTAGCTTCCCACGTACGGTGGGTGTTTAGATATGCTAGCTCTTCCTTCATCTCCCAAATGAATGAATGAATGAACGAATAATAAAATTAAAAAAAAATAAGATGGATGTGTAAATGTAAATAGGCAGTGCTCTTTGTCTTTGGAGTCACATGCTTCAATGCTAGAATTTGATTAAATTATAGTGGTTTTTCTTTCTTTCTTTGTTTTTTTTTTGAAAATTATATCAATCACTTTTATAAGTGAAGACTTTTGAAAAAATTACACTAAGGTCCCACAAAAGAGATTTAATTATCAAGAGGTCATATGAAATATACAAAATACTCCCAAATCTCAAATCCTACACATTTATAACTTAGAATAGGGCATTTGTAAATGCCCATTGCCCTATTATAACTGCCCTTTGTTAATTTGTAAATGAGCTGGATTTGAGATTTAGAAGTATTTTGTGTATTTCATAAGACTTCTTGGTAATTACATCTCTTCTGTGAGATCTAAGTGTAATTTTTTCATAAGTTTTCCAATTATCCCAAGGGAGAAAATCATCTTTGTGTTTTAAATCAATTGTTTATCATTTGAAAAAAAAAATAAAAACCTAAGTTGTTGTTGAAAAAAAATAAATTCTTTATATCAGAGTCCCAATAAATATTTGAAACCCTACTTTGAGGTTGAATTACTCTAAGTGGTGGCCTATTGTGGGACTAGTTAAAGCTTTTTTTTTTTTTTTATATATTGAATTCAGTAGAAGATCTAGTGGTTAAGTTTTCTTTTGAGAATTCTTTTATTCTTTTTGTAATTTCCTAGTTTTGAGAATAAGTTGGAAAACTATTGTTCTATTGCTTGAGGACAAGCAATGGTTCAAGTATGGGGGAATTTAATAAGTGTACATTTTACTTAAATTAATACATATTTTCTACTCTGTCATCCACTAATGAATGCGTAAATTGATAGAAATTTGGATAAAATACCTTGTTCAATGATTTTTAGGCATTTTCAAGAAAAAGAAGCAAAAGTAACATTTAGAAGGCCTTATATACTTGAGGTGCTTGTTTTCAATTATAAAAATACCTTATATAAGTATTTTAATAATGATAATTAAATTTCAATGCATTATTTTTTGAAAAAGAGTAATAAATGAAATAGGGATATAGTTGAAAAAATAATTATAAAAGTTATCTAATATCTTATATTTTGGAACAAGTAAGGCTTTTAAAAGATACTCCATATCATGATCCAAAGAGAGTACAATGATACAAGAAGACAAAGTTTGCACCTTCGCCTTGCTTAAACCACTTTGTCCTTTTTTAATTTGAATATTCTAAAGAAATGAATGGTCCATGTTTCTCTCATATAATTTCATCTCTCCATGAAATCGTCAATCAAGAAAGGGAGGTGGCGGCCAATTATATATATATATATATATATATAATGAGATTTGGATCCTCTTCAATCTTCCTCTCAATATGTCTCTCCCTACACAATTTCCTTTAATTTGTAGCTAATTAAGAGGATTTGAGGGTTTTTAGAGTAGCTTTAAAGTAGCTGTGGAGTAACGAATGCTATTGATGAATGTATTTGCAAATTATTAATTAACTTGTAGATTGTTGAGTATAACTATGTTTGCTAGAAATCTGTTCCCCACGTGCTTTTTTGTAAGCTTGCTTGAGGAGTAACTCTATGAATGTTATTGCCATGAATGATGGTCACATATTCAACCAGTCAGGTATTCTTAAGTTAAAGAAGTCTATTGACATAGGTAAATGATCAATCATTTACGTTATCACCAGTCAGGTATTCTTAAGTTATATTATTGAACTTTAGGGTGCCAATTACACAGCTCCATGAATACTATTAAAGGGAAAAATATTCTTTAACCAAAAATATAAAATTAACTATTAACACCAATATCCATTAGTCAAGATAACATAACAATTTTGACACTCGAAGGTGACATTATTTCAATAAATAGTTTAGGATATCTTGTGATTCTCACAAAAAAATTCAGTAGTAAAAATTCCCTTTAAGCCTATATATAATATGATCACTAAAAATGGGCTCTGTTTTTGTTAAGAAAAGCCTATATATAATATGATCAAAACGGTTCGAATTCTACACACATGGACAAAAGGAGATGAGTACGTACTCTTTCTCGGGTTAGCTAACTTTCAACGTATGGTGGGTGTTTAGAGATGCTAAGTCTTCCTGTTATCTCCAAAATAGCATGTACGCGTGTATGTAAATTAAATAGGCAATGCTCTTTGTCTTTGGAACCACATGCTTGGATTTATATCAATAATGTACATCCATATTCCAAGTCATTATTTAATCTCTTCACGCCTTATATTTTTTCTTTTTTCTTTTTGAAAATCATATCAATCACTTTTTTAAGCTAAGACTTTTCCAAGTATCCCACGGGGGGAAGACTTGGAATCATCTATGTGCTTTCAATCAATTGTTTATCATTATAAAAATAAAAAGTTAAGTTGTTCTTGAAAATAAATAAATAAATCAACTCTTTATATCAGAGTCCCTATAATTATAGGAAACCCCAATATATAACTTTTCATTAATTTTTGATTGCTTCCAGTAAACGTGAGCACAATTCTCAGTGAGAAACTTTATTTCACTGCATTGTGGAGGATTAGCCCCTTTTGTTAGACTAATTTCATTAATATTTTTTTCATTAATTTTAGTAACAACATTTTAAATTAGATATAAAAATATATGATTTCTAATAGAGTAACACTTAGGTACTTAGCCTTAGATACTTAATATACTTCTTTCCAATCAAATTAAGACAAGTAGATTTTAATATGTTAATTAATAATTTTTTCCAAAAATGTTAATTAATAATACTCACTTGGTGTCCCTGATCGGTTATTGCAACGACAGTGATGAGATGATCCTGGTTGACGAGTTCATGGCTCTTCTTGACCATCTTTATGGTATTGATTGCAAAGAACCACTTTCGTGGAAGCAGAGGTTAGAGATGTGCCTTGAGGCAGCGCGTGGACTGCACTACCCACATGATGTGCCTTGGGTTAAAAAAAATTCGCTTGTCGACTCTGTTATTACAATCCTAAATTCTACATGTATTAGTTCAATTTTAATTATTGATTATATATGCATTTCATTACATGTAGTCTAATAAAACATTTATATTTTTATTTTTAAATGATAATAACTTTGCCTTTAATTTATTGGTAAGAAGCATTTAGCGCCTTAAATTATTTTGGTTTAATATTACTCTTCAATATTTGAAATAAATAAATATCCTATAAGAAAATTAATACCAATCCAATTTCTTAAATTACAAATAAATATATCAAGAGAGAAATTTATTTATCACCCATGTGAAAAACCAAATTAAAGTAACATTTTAACAGTATTGATAGATATAACTTATAATAGTATATGATGAATAACTTTTGATAGTATTATTTACTTGATAGTATACGATGAATATCTAGTTAGTAAGTTATGTGATGCCTAAACATGATACATAATGTTTAAGTAAAAAATAGATATGTCAATTGTTCAACATAATATTGAACTTTAGAGTATTAGTTACTTCTTCGCGAATGCTTTGGAGATAAAATTTTCTTTTAAACCGAAGTCAATATGAAACATAGCGATGATTTTTTTTTTTTCATTGTTCATAGGCATCTCTTATTAAAGGCAATCCTATTTGAAACATTATTGGATATTAAATATGGACATCTTTCCTAATAAGGATTAATTAATTTTGAGTAAGAGGGAGATTTGCTTTATGAGGACACTAGTTTTTGGGGATTTAGGATAATTCAATGAATAATTAGAAATTCTAATTACTTAAGTAAAAAAAGTTAATTAAGAAAAATTGAATAAAAGAATTTGATAATTTGACTTCGTAAGATTATTATGAGGGTTTGAGGGTTTTAGAATAGCTTTAGTCCCTGGGGTAACTTTAGAATAATATAAATGTCATTGATAAGTGTGTATGCAAATTCTTAAC